TGGAGGTTTTTATTTGGAGGAGAGATGAGAGCAATCGGGGGTTTTTCTGGAGGATGAATTTGGAAGGATTAGAGGGTGTAGATTAAGAGAAGGGTTATGAAGAAGGTGGCGATGGAGTTTCTGATCAAGCAGAAGGTGGGCCGGTGGGATGATTGGTGGTTCATTTGGGTTGGCGCCGGAGGGAAGACGGTGTTTCTTTTTGGAGAGAGAGAGAGAGATTGCAGAAGCAGCGTTGAGAGAGAGAGAGAGAGAGAGAGGGGAGATGTTTTTTTTTCAATGGAAGAGAGATGTTTCGGATCTGTGTTTTTTTTTTAGTATTTTCTTTTTTTAAGAAAAGTCTATGGTTGGCTGAGGCTCCTTTGGCTTTTTTCGCTACTATTTTTCTTTTATTAAATGGTTAATTTTTCTATATTTAATAATTAAGAAAAAAAAAAATAGATGCAATTTTAAACTTTGCTAAATGAAATTTACATCTAGTTATTTATTTACATTGGATGTAATTTAATTTTGGATCTTATTTAATAACCAGCAACTAAACGCACATACATATATGTGTGACTGTTTGCAGATTCGTAGTTGAAATCCACTGAGTATAGCATCTAATTAACGTAAATGTAGTTTGTACCACTAGGCTTAAAACTTAGTATATATTTTCTTCGTATCAATTGAGCCTAACTGAATTTATAATAATTGACTCTGTGAGCCTGGGTTTGACAATAATTGTCTATGTGGTGGAGGTCCGGGCATGGGTGACCCACAATCGAATATCATGAGCGTTTGTGTGTTGAATACACTTTTTTTTTTTGAGTAAATTCAAGTCCATTACAAGGGGAAGTAGGGGAGGGGGGACTCGAACCCTAGACCTTTACCTATTGGTAAAGGCTATGTATCAACTCTCCTAATGAGAGTTGGTTGTGTGTTGAATACACTATAAGGTTAGGGTTTGCGTCTTTCCTGACACTAATTGATTTTAGGACAACTAGTAGTGTATGAGATGTTAAATAATAGTAGATTAGTTGATTCAATAGATTTAAATCAGCTGACTCAATTAATTTAAAATAGGGCAAATTACGGCCACCCCAGAAGTATGACCAAATTACGAAAAAAACCTCTGCTTGGTAATTACAGCTATCCACTCCTTTTAAATAACTTTACATAAAATTTATGTAATTCAGTTATTTACCGAACCAAATCATATAATTAGTTCGATAAACGATATGAAATGTTGGCGTACCGAAATTTCGATTCAATTTTACCTGATTAACATCCCTAAATTTACCTCTAGAGAAATCTTTTCATAAGATAATATATAGTCAAGAGGGCGGTTATAGTTACCAAAATAGAAAGGAAGATTTTTGTAATTTGATCATAACTCAAGAGTGACCGTAATTTACCCTTTAAAATAGAAGGTTAAGTATTACATAAAACAATAGGATAAAACATATTTTACTCTTTATAACTTAATTGATTTTATATCAATTGACTCAATCGAGACACAAAATATGAAAAAAATAGCAAAAACTAATTAAATGACATGAACAAAATAAAAATAAATTATTGCCAACAATATATTCTCCCGCCCTTTTCCTTGTATATAATTTTATTTCCTTGACGCAAAAAAAAAAAAAAAAAAAAAAAAATCACTACCCCCATTCGCCTTTGTCCCCCTCAATAAACAGTAATAACTAATAATACCCAATTCAGATCCCAAATTCACACTTACTATAAGGGTGCATTTGGATGGAGGGATTTGGGGGAGGGATTTCAAATCCATAATAACAAATCCCTCGGACTTGTTTGGATTGAGGGATTTGGAGATGGATTTCAAATCCCCACCCCTCCTTTTTAGTTGATTTTAGAGCAATAGTGATGGATTTCAAATGACTCCTAAATTGGAGTCATTTCAAATCCATTCCCCAAATCAAATCCCTCCCCAAATCCCTCCATCCAAATGGACCCTAACTTCATTTATTTTATTTTATTTTCTTGGATTCCTCACACACTACACACACTGACACACTGTTTCAGTGTGTGTGTGTGATAAATGAATAGAGCTCGAGTTTCCCTTTCCCCCAATTCAATGGCATCTGATACCAACAACAACAACAAACCCTTGTCATCAAGAACCCAACAACACCAGCAGCAGCAGCAATTGGTCTCCACAATGATAAAGCACGGCTTCATCTCCGACCCCTTTCTCTCTCCTTCCCGCCTCACCACTCTCTCTCCTCCCCCCACCTTCAAGCCCGCCCCCGGCCCGAATCAGAGCCCGACCCTCTTCCAGATGATGTCCGCCGAACAGTCCCGCGACCCGAAGCCCGGTTCCGAGGCCCACAACAAACTCCAAGACAGGATTTCATCCCTCCTCTCTCGAGCCCCGTTCAATGTCACCGACCGGTGGGGGGTTGGTGACGTCAGGCTGACGGTGGCGTCGAGGTCGGATTCCGGCGAGGGCGAATCGCTCCGAGTATCCATGGACGTGCACCGGAGGGTTCTCGCCGCCGGAAGCCGGTTCTTCGCGGAGAAACTCCGCCGGAGCGGGACCCACTCCGTCGAGATCCTCGAGTGCGATGACGTGGCGGTCTACGTGGAGGCTGTTGTCCTCATGTACTCCGATGAGTTGACCGCCGAGCTCTTCGGTATGGATGTCTCCAAGATCTTGACCCTCTTGAAGGTTTTTTTTTGTTATTTTTTTATTTTATTATTTTTTGTTATGCTTATTCGAATTGTATGATCTTGAATCTTGATTGTTTCTACTTTGTGGGCTTATGATTTGTTAATTATAATTTAGATTAACAGAGTATCAAATGTTCTTAATCTTAGGTTAATTAATCTGTAACTAAGCCAATTTAATTTCGTTTAATTCAACGAAGAATCGTAGTCGGACTTGAAATCTACGGATAAATGCGATTAGCCGAGTTAATTTTTATTTTTTTTATGTTGTTTTCTGCAGATTTCGTCGGCCATTATGTTCGACGAAGGGGTGAGAGCATGCTTGGAGTATCTAGAAGCAATACCTTGGTCCGAAGCGGAGGAGAAGAACGTAATTTCACATCTCAACGAACTCAATCTCGACGGTTACCAAATGGACGGTGTGCTTCAGAGAGTGATATCCGACCCCTCTACGTCTTCAAGAGCCGACGAAATCTTCTTTAAACTCTCGTCGAGCGTACTGCGTGCAAAAGACGAAAAGCCCCGTAAAGAAATGAAGTCGTTACTCACTCGATTGCTGGACGAAGATCATTATAGTAGACTCGATATTTCGAGAAACACTCTCTACCAACTCTGCCATAGATGCCTTAGCTCACTCGTGCTGAGCTTATCAGCGGCCACGTGTGCAGACGAAGAAGCCGTGCAGCAAGATCGAGGGGTTTTAATGGCTGAGATCGCTCGAGAGGCCGATAACATGCAGTGGATCGTGGGTATTTTAATGGACAGAAAAATCGGGGAGGAGTTTGTGAAGTTGTGGGCCGATCAAAAGGAGCTTGCGGTTCTTCATTCGAAGATTCCCGTAATGTACAGACACGTGATTAGCAAGATTACGGCCCAAGTTTGCGTCTTTATCGGACAGGGCAAAGTGTTGGTTCCGAAGGAGGTTAGGTTCGGCTTGCTTTCGACTTGGCTCGATGCGCTTTACGATGATTTCGGGTGGATGAGAACGTGCGGCGGGAAATCGGTTGACCGGAAAGTTGTTGAGGAGGGATTGGGTCGGATGATTTTGACCCTGCCGCTGACTCAGCAGCAGTTGATTTTGATGAAATGGTTCGATAGGTTTGTTAACGGAGGGTATGATTGTCCGAATATTAAGGGGGCGTTTGAGGTTTGGTGGCGAAGGGCTTTCGTGAAGCAGTACGTGGTGGAGTCGCAGCTGCAGGTAGCTTTGTGTGACGTGGAACACTGATTTTGATTGTAGAAATCGCAGTTTGTGGGACCCGTTGATGAGGTGGCGGTGTAATCAATGGCGGAGTGGAGAAGGAAATGAAAATCGAACGGTGGAAATTAATTGGCACGTCCGGTAACCTCGTGTTCGTCTTGCCCTTATCGACTCGGGTCGTATTCTCTGAAGATCTTTCTCTTGTGGGGTCCATTTAAACGATTGTATAGGCCATTTGATAACCGTCCATATAAACTCTATAGATTTTTTGTCCACCCTAATAAAATTCTGGCTCTGTCACTGAGGATAACCATCGATTTACCACATAGAACGAATGAGCTCATGTGTGATATTTATAGCTTGTGAATTTCAATCGGACCCTTTTTAACTTCAAATTCAATATAAATTCCTCAATCACTTTGTAGTAGGGGTGGAAATCAGACGGATCAGATCGGAAGTAGCACTTTAATTTTTTTTTTCGAAAGTGAAAATTTAATTACAATTCTGTTAAAACTAACTGGAAATTGAAAATTGAATGAAAAAACTTGTTCCTAAATTGGAAATTTCTTGATCGATATCCGCGGCATTCAAAAATTTCCAATTCGGTAAAAATCATAACTTTTGGAATTATTTTAAGAAAATTAAAATTGATTCGGGAATCATAATCTCATATATATTCCAATTTTTAACCAAAAAAAAAATTGGAGAAAAATTGGAATCAGAATTTTTCGGATTTGGAATGAATTTTTTTGTTCCAGATTGGAAATTTTCGAATCTGAATCAACGGAAATCGAACATTTCCTTCAAATCTCCACCCTAGTTTGTAACGAGGGGAAAGCTCATGCGATGATAACTTAAAAACAAGGGCAAATTGAAACTTTTCAGTTAGCTTTTTCCACCTCAGCTTTTGAAACCATAATCACTTATTCACAATCAAGAATATATAGTGGGCCTTGATTGACAGACGGGCCCAATCATATTGGGCCTCAGGAATATTATGGCCCGATTCGATTTCAGAGAAAAGCCACTTGTGGACAGTGATTTGGCAACAAGAGTTGACGTGGCGTTCTCTGATTGGATGAATCAAGCTGATGTGGAGCTGATTTGTCAGAAGGCAATAGGGTTTCACACGTGGCTGAAATTATTCGGTTATGAGTAATTTATTTTACCAGAATAAGACCACAATCATAAATTGGCTTATTGATGACTGATTACTACACAAATAAGCAAAGCAAAACAAATTTACATATATGAATCATCACTTTGCTTAAAACATATATCTGGGAATTTGAGAATTTTCCGACAAATATAAAATAGAAAAATGCATAAATTAATCAAGAATTTCCTCCTTACTAGAGAATTTATTTTCTATTTAATTCGATGATAAATTATGTCAAAACCAGACTGTGTTTTAGGGCCCTCTGATTTAAATCGCAATCTTATATAGCTCGTAAATCTTTTTTGTTTTTGGATAAGATAAGTAGTTCAATCATTTATTGAATGTTTTTTCACCCGCATTAATACACATACACGCGCGCGCATACACACTCTCTCTCATTTTTTCTAGAAATTTACGAAAGAATTGTTAATTTTTCTACTAAAAAAGGAAAATAAATTTTTTTTTTCTCTCCATAGATATCTAAGGGGTTTCCATTTATCAAATAGATTTTAGCACATTTATTGTGATTGAAATTTTTTTTGGTATTATTTAAATTAATTTCTTTGCCTTTTTTTTTGGGTTTTTTAATTAATTCTTTTGTGTCTATGATTAAAATTGTGTTTGGCGGTATTTAAATTTGATCTTTAATGATTTTATTGGATTAATAATTATGATTATTGTCCTATTTTATAATTTAATGTTGAAATTTGAAAATTTAAATTCATTTTGAAATGAGTGGTTTGAATTTATAATATTTAGACTTTACGGACATATAATATTCATTATGTAGATATATATTTTGCTCTATTTTTAATGGACTTAATTTGTATTTTATAGAAAAAAACTAGTGGGGCCAAGCTTTAATCCTTTTAAGTTTTTATTATATATGAGTTGTGCAATTGGCCAATAATTGAGGTGGCTCAATAAATATATCTTTTTTTTTATATGCTTTTTGCAAAAGATTTCTATTCCATTTATAAAATAAAATTAAAAAGGGTCTTGTTAAAAATATTATATACCAGCACAACGAAAATAGTACCCCTATGATATAATACGAATTAGGGCATCTCATGTCAACAATCAATAGTTTATATATATATATATGATGATGCTAGTATATAGCTCACCTAGGGGTATAGAAAATGAGTTGGGAGAGCAAAGCGGATCAGTAGCTTGATAACTTGATGATCCTGAGGTCCCTGCGAAATGAGTACACGTGAACTAAGCCGGGGGTTGATCCGACGGAAACCCCTCCGACGCTCAAGTCAGATGTACGGATCCTAGAGATAGTAGAGAGAATAAACTCGTGGTTGATTATCAATAATGAGAACGTACCTTTTCGAATGAGTAAAACACTTATTTATATATCGTTGAATGGGTTGGGCTTAGTTTGTTGGGCCCAAGCCTTATTTTGAAGGAGCTTGGGCTTTCGTGTAATGGGCCCACTTGTATGTGATTGGGGTTTCATGTATTGGGCCTAATTATTAGATAAATTTGAGGGTCCATTGGGCCGGCCCATTTAGGTATATCATTAAGCCCCCCAACTCTCGATTCGAGTCGGGGGCTTGTGTAGAGGGATCCGGGTCGTGTCGAGAGTTAATTGCGGCGTTGATTGAATTGTTTCCGTTGGTGGTGAATTATTTCCTTAGCTTAAATAAGGGAATATTGTATTTATTTGGCAGCAAGGTATATATTTAAGGGTTTTAAATAATATACCAGGGCCAGATAAATAGACTCCTTTTGCGGTGTAAAGAATTAAACTTCAACTCTTGTGAAATAAATATGGGTATGTATCTTTAACTCTAGGTCTTCCTCTGTGCTATTTTTCTCTTGAAATTTTTTTTTTGCGGTAGAGTAGAAATTTTTTGTTTCTTGATAATTTCTTCGGGGAAATTTTTTCTCATGTCGAATTCGGGTAATTCGAAATCTTTGCGAATTAAACTTCGAGATCCGGTTGAAGGGAGCGAGAAGACTTTTGGTACAGTGGGTATGGAACGCGAAAATCTTAGGGTATGGGGTGTGAAAATCGGATCCGCAGTGAGCGTTGCACGAAACTCTGTGCAGATGGGGGTGGTAGGGGGCTCGGATGCAATTGCTGGCTCGAGCCGCGCTTCGAGCCACTCAAAAACGTGTGAGGGCGCGCGCTTCCAGGTTAGAGGGAACCCGAGCCGAGCCGCGGAGTTGGGAGCTGGCTCAGCGGCTGAGGAGGGGTGGACCAGCGCACGTGGTCCAATGGGATGAAGCCACGTGCGCGCAGCTGGTACCGGGGTAGAGGCACGCGCGCGCGCGTCGGGCGCCGGAATCGAGAGACGCGCGCGCGTGCCCATTAATGAGCAGCAGCCTGGCGTGCTTCCCGAGCGACGCGCGCGCGCGTCGGATGGGCGTGCTGTGGCTGACGCGCGGACTTCAGCGAGTGGGGAGGCGATACGTGGGCGGCAACTGGGTGATGACGCGCGGGCTTCAGCAAGTGGGGAGGCGACACGTGGGCGGCAGCTGGTTGATGACGCGCGCGCGCATGAATCAGCCCTTTTTGGGGCCACGCGCGCGCGTGAGAGCGCGTTACAGCCCGGTTTTGAGGCTGGTTCGGGCGAAATTGACGGGCAAATTTCTGAGGGTGTTGATGTGCGTGGTGTTTTAAACGGGGGAAGTTTCGGTCGGCGAGAAATCATTGAATCTTGGAGTGACGATGTAGAAATGAGTATTCATGTTAGTGAGCAAGTGGATGGAGTTGTGGCTAGTAGGCGTTATTCTCGACGTCAAATCGTGGATTTTGGGAGCGATAGTGATGATTCTAACCACGTTCCTTTGGTGAGTGATCATGCGGCGCCAAGTAGTGAAGTTGAGCTGACGGATGAAGAGGAGGTGGAAGATGATATTCCGCCATGTGATGTTGAGGTTGATAAGAGGAGGCAAAAGAAGAAGAAGCCAATTAATTTGGACTTAGTTGATTTTGATAGTATGTTGACGGAAGAGCATTTGCGCTCTATTCGTCGTCTGTCTGGAGCGCCAGGTAATGTCGAGTTGCTGTTGCCTCAGAAGGGCGACTGTTTGTATTCGCCGCCTGATGTGTTTCATACAATATTTTTGGGTTATTTGACTTGTACATCTCAGATTACTCCGCATCCGACTTTGTTGAAGGTTTGCGAAGAGTTCAAGATAGGGTATAGTCAGCTTACTCCGACTGCAGTGCTTACGTTTGAGGCGTTTCACCATAGGGTGTCTCTCGTGGGTTTGCCTATGACCGTGTGTTTGTTCAAGGCGTTATTTACGTTACACCGGCCCAATATGACGCCTTTCTTTTGTTTTCATCCTCGCGTTCCTTACCAATTCGTGAAGAGTGTGAAGTTATCTTTGGGGAAATGGAAGACCCATTTTTTTTTATGTGAAGGCTCCCACTTTTGACGTTCCTATAGTTTGGAATCCTACGTGCGAGAGCTTCATGATAAATGCGAATATGGCGAAAAGGATTGAAGAGTCGGGATTGTGTGACGTGGAATTTGACCCGAGGGTTTTGATACCAAAGGCGAGGGGTCAGCACCATATATCCTATTGTTGCCTTGACTTGTGTTTTGTTTTGTTTTTTGTTTTTTTTTTGTAGTTCTTTGGTAGTCTGTACCTCATGTCATTTATGTGTTTGTTATCTTTTGTAGATGGGGGTATTACCTTTGCGGCACTTCAAGCTAAGGCGAATAAGACGTCGAAGAAGGCGTCGAAGAAGGAATCGAAGAAGATGTCTTCTACGTTGGGAGGTTCTACAAGTGGTTTGCTTCGTGAGGAGGTCCATGTAGAAATACCTCGAGTAGTCGCAGATGATCGTAGCAGTGCTGGTGAAGTGGAGGGGCGTCCACCGACGAGGGACCGTGGCAAGGGAAAGAGGGTGGATACCGAGTATGTGGCTGTGCCTAAGCGTCCACGGGTAGACCCAGAGGAGACTTATGCTTTCCATGGTGGAGGAGGGAAACAGCTGTTTACTTATGGCGTAAACCGCGATGGTAAGGAGTCGTACTGGGATGTGTCGGACTATGATTTGCCGATGTTGAGTACCGAGGGTTTCGTTCGGGAGTATGATCGTGCTCGGATGTCTGGTAAGGGTCCTTCTCACATGCTAGAGTTAGCTGGTGGAGACATATGTCGGGTGAGTACTTGTCTACTTAAATTTTTTTTTTTTTTTTTTGACTTGTGAAAAATAATTTTTTTTTTTTTTTTTTATATATATAGTTGGTAGCGACTTGGAGATATCTCATGGAGCATGGTAGGAATGCGGAAGCTATGAAGGAAGAGGAGCGGGCTCGAAGTCAAGCGCGTGAGGATGAGCTTCTAAGCCAATTGGAGATAGCGCGGGTCGATCTTGCTCAACGCTCGGAAGAGTTGGCTCGGAGGACAGAGGAGCTTGCCGAGAAGACAGAGGAGCTCGAGGTCATCCGAGGTGATGCGCAGGCGTATAAGGATGATGTTCACAAGTTGAACGAATGCTACGATCAGCTCAAGGATAAATACGAAGTCGAGAAGACGACGGGGAAAAGGTTCCTCACGACATCAGGTGGTGCAGCTTACAAGGAGTCCATTGTGGAGGAGACCAAGGTTAATTTCCGAGGTAGCGATGAGTGTGCTGCTATGGTTGAGGAGCATGCGTTGGCTGTGGTTTATAAGCCATTAGTGCGTGCTTGTCGCAAATATCTGCGCGATGCGGGTGGGATCAGCGAGGAAGTGATTCGTGGAATGGAAGCTGGCATATCCGATGAAGAGGAGGATGAAGTAGATGTTAATGGGACGGGCACAGAGGTCGTGAACGACATGGTTGCGGATGACTCCGCTGTGGGTGCATCTTCCGCTCGTGGTAGGGGAGTTTAGACTTATCTGTTAGGATAGTTAACTCACCCCATTTATTTCTATTGCTATTTTTTTTTTTATGGATTTCGTAGTTTATTTTTATCGCTGATGTAGATGGGTATGTCCACTACTATTTCGTTTGAGTTTCTTTCTTGTTTGACTCTGGAGTTTAATATTTCTATTTATTTATTTTGACGTTGTCAAGAATTAATGCGTTGCTTATATGTATTTACATTAGCGTATACGCAATGTACTTGAGGAGGGGATCAGTCTCTCAAGGTTTTTGTTATGGGTCGTGCCCTTTGTTCGGACCGCGTGGGTCTTGATTATATTTGTCCGTGGCCACGTTTTAAAAGTAACACCTCGTGAAACAAATAAAGGGACTTAGGTAATCCAGCTGGCCAGGCTATATTGATTATCTAAATCTCTCTAAGTGTTTGTGAGGTTATTGGATTGAGCTCATGGTAATAGGTGATTCGTGTAGATGTAATATCACCGAGAGTAAAGCAAAAAGAAATTTGATTAATTCAATGGTAGCAAAAGTGTATTGATACAAGCCTACGTGAGGCGAATGTGAATAAATAGCTAATGGGATATGCCTACGTGAGGCGAATGTAAATAAATACTGCTAAAATAAACAAATTGAAGATAATATTTCTTGTAAGTGATTGTATTACACTTGTTCATCTTCCACGTCTTCCTTGTACTCGTTCGTTTTACTGTGCTGATGGTAGATTGACTTCTTTTGGCGTCTTTATGTCTGTCAAGTACGATTGAGAAGAAAAGAATTTATTTAATCACTTGTATTGATGATTTAGTAATTGAAGCTATGGTGATGTGTATTGGTCTTTCACGTACCCTACTACGGGGGTTGATTTTTCTTTCTCGCCCTCCAAGATATGAACTGAACTCGTGAATTGCTGCGGGTTGCTATGCTATCACGCCTGTTAGTGGAATTACTTTTTCATGTTAGTGAGAGTAAATAAGATCATCCGTGTGTTGAATTCTAGTGGATGTATAATAATTACCCTTGACGATGTGGTATAGAGTATCTTCGCTCTTTGGGGCATTGATTGAGTAATATGCATCCTCCCGTAATAGGTTCTCAACCTGTAAGAAGATGATGGGATGTAATTATGACTCGCCGAAGTAAGTAAAAATTACTAGCCCCCCAGTTTAGGTGGGACGTTCACGTACCTCGTTATGTGGTGTCAAATTTCCAACCATGTATAAGCAGCTTTACAAGACAATTGACGTGGAAGGTCGTGGTGCCTGCATGGGTGGCAATTCGTGAGTAATTTTCCTATAGAATAAATATGGGTGATGATCTCAACTGATCTGAAGTAAGGTAGATGTATACCTTAGGCGTAGAACCGTTTGAGGTTCCCTATATTCCAAGTTCTGGGTATAGGGTGTCCGTCAGTGTTCTCGAGGCGATATGCTCCGGTGTTGACGACTTTGGTGATTTTATATGGTCCTTCCCACTTTGGGTCGAGCTTACCGATGGGGTGAGAGGCTTCAGCTTTTCGGAGGACTAAATCTCCAACTTGAAAGGAGCGAGGGCGGACCTTTGAGTTATATGCCTTGGCCATGCGTGATTTATACATCTGTTGCCGGATGTATGCGACTTCACGTAATTCATCTACGAGGTCGAGGCTTCCCCGCATAGCCTCCTCATTAGCTGTTGGATCATAGTTGGTGATTCGCCAAGATGGTTCTCCGATTTCGACGGGTGCGATAGCCTCTGTTCCGAAAGCTAGATTGAAGGGCGATTCTCCGGTTGCTGCTCGTGGGGTTGTGCGATATGCCCATAGCGCGTTAGGCAATTCGTCCACCCACTTCCCTTTGGCACTTCCAAGCCTTGTCTTTAGGTGTTGGAGTATAGTGCGATTCGTGACCTCCGTCTGGCCGTTAGCTTGTGGATTTGCTACGGATGTGAAGAACTGCTTGATGTCTAGGCCGAGGCACCAATTTTTCACTTTGTCACCGCAAAATTGTGTTCCATTATCTGAGATAATGGAACGTGGGATTCCAAAGCGACACACGATGTTTTTCCATATGAATTGGATGACTTCTTCTTCTCTGATGCGTGCTAAGGGTTCAGCTTCCACCCATTTGGTGAAGTAGTCCACTGCTACAATGAGGTATTTGCGCCCTCCTGTAGCGGGCGGGAATGGTCCAACTAAATCCATCCCACATTGGGCGAAAGGGATGGGGTTGTCAATTGGTTGCATTAATGCCGCTGGCAGGTGAGTGATATTTGCATGCTCTTGGCAGGGCTTACACTTCCGAACTAACTTCTTCGCGTCTTCATGCATCGTCGGCCAATAGTAGCCTTGCCTCAGTAGTTTGAGAGCTAAAGTTCTCCCGCTTAAGTGATTTCCGCAGATGCCTTCGTGTACTTCTCTAAGTACGTAATCCGCTGTGGTCGGATCGAGGCACTTGAGGTAAGGGAATGAGAAACCTCGTTTATACAGTTCTTCTCCCACTATAGTGAAGCGGGCGGCTCTTGTTTTCATCTTCCGTGCTTCAGTGGGATCCGTTGGAAGTTCCCCCTTCTTGAGATACTTCAGGATTGGAGTGAACCAGCATGGTTCATCCTCCTCGGTGTACTGTACTTCGGTGGGTGAAGTTATTTCTGGCTGAGGTGAGGTGAGGAGAGTCACCTTCCGACTTCCGATGCTAGCTATGGAGCTTCCAAGCCGAGCTAATTTGTCAGCGTGGATGTTATTGGAGCGGGGTACTTGTATTATCTCGTAGCTCTCGAATTTAGATAGGAGAGTGTGCGCGAGAGCTAAATATTTCGCCATGGTGTCTTCTTTGGCCTCGTAAACTCCGAGTACTTGGTTAACGATGAGCTGAGAGTCGCTTTGGATTAGGAGCTTGCGCGCTCCTGCTGCTAGGGCGAGGCGGATTCCCGCTATCAGGGCTTCGTACTCAGCGACATTGTTTGAGGCTGTGAATTCGAATCGTTGAGCATATTCGAACTCATCTCCATCAGGGTTCGTTAGGACGATACCCGCTCCCCCTCCTGTGGCAGTGGAAGATCCATCGACGTTGACAGACCAAGTAGGTAGAGAAGAGCTTTCTTCTACTGAAGTCATTTCGACTAGAAAATCCGCCAATACTTGCGCTTTGATAGCAGGACGGGGTTTGAATTCGACCCCATATTCGCTTAGCTCTATCGCCCATTTTGCTAATCGCCCGGATGTCTCAGGACTCCTTAGTATTTGCTTCAGAGGATAATTTGTGAGAACCACCACTTGATGTGATTGGAAGTAAGGTCGAAGCTTCCGAGCTGCGTTGATGAGGGCGAGAGCGAGTTTCTCCATATTGGTGTAGCGTTGTTCGGCTCCTTGGAGGGCGCGACTTATGTAGTATATGGGTTGGTGGCCTTTTCCTCCATCTCGGATGAGGACTGCGCTGACGGCATTAGCTGAGGTAGCTAAGTATAGTAGGAGGGTGTCTCCGGGCTGAGGTTTTGTAAGCAAAGGTGGTGATGCGAGGTATGACTTTAGCTCAGTGAAGGCTTTTTGACACGCCTCATCCCACTCGAACTTTTTTCCTCCCCTTAAAATCTTGAAAAAGGGGAGAGCCTTGTCCGCTGACCTTGAAATGAATCTATTCAGGGATGCCAAACAGCCGTTGAGTTGTTGAACTTTCTTGATCGATGTTGGCGGAGCCATGGAGGTGATTACTTCGATTTTCGCGGGATTAGCTTCGATTCCTCGCTGCGAAATCATATAACCCAAAAATTTGCCTCCCCTAACTCCGAATGAACATTTGAGGGGGTTGAGCTTCATCTTATATTTTCGCAGGGTGGCGAAACACTGATCCAGATCAGTTAGGTGGTCCGCGACCTTGACACTTTTGACGAGCATGTCGTCGATGTACACCTCCATATTTTTACCGATCTGATCTGTGAACATTTTGTTCACTAGACGCTGGCTCCTGCGTTTTTTAACCCGAAGGGCATGACTTGATAGCAGTAGATGCCTTGGTCAGTGATGAAACTAGCCCTCTCTTGATCTTCTGGTGCAAGTAAGATCTGGTTATATCCTTGGTATGCATCGAGGAAGTTGAGGAGTTCGCACCCCGAGGTCGAATCGATGAGCTGATCGATTCTGGGTAGAGGAAATGGGTCCTTAGGACAGGCTTTGTTGAGGTCAGTGAAATCTACGCATAATCTCCACTTGCCACCGGGTTTGGGAACGAGCACTACGTTCGACAACCATTCAGGATACTGAACTGGTCGTATATGACCCGCCTCTAGAAGTTTAGCCACTTCTGCCTTGATATGCTTGTTGCGTTCGGGTCCAAACGTTCGTTTTCTCTGTTTGACTGGCTTCATCCTCTTGTCGACGTTAAGCCGATGTAGGGCTACCTGAGGGGGAATGCCCGACAAATCTTGGGCTTTCCATGCGAACACATCTCCATTGTGTCGCAGGAAGTTGATTAGCTGCTGCTCCGTCCCAGGATCTAAATCGGATCCGATGCGTAGGAGTTTGGAATCATCTCCAGGTGTGAGCTCAATGACTTAAGCTCTTCGACAGCCGCTAGCTTGGTGTTATCCTCTGGTACACTGATGAGGATTTCTTTATTGTCCTCAATGATCGCATTGACCCACTTCCGTTTGTCGGATTTTTGGGTATCGTCTCCCTTTTCGGGCGGTTTAGGCTTCTTTGAGGGTTCTCGTAGGGCCCTTGCATAGCATTCTCGAGCGAGACGTCTATCTCCAAGCACTTCTCCCATTCCATAGGGAGTAGGGAACTTCCACTTCTGATGGTAGGAGGAAGGTACTGACTTGAATGTGTGGATGGCTGGCCTCCCCAGAATGATGTTGTAGGGTGATGGTCTGTCGACGACGAGGGAACTTGATTAGTTTCGTGATTCGACAGGGGTCTTCCCCTAAAGAAACAGGCAGCTCCACTTCTCCCATGGACAAAATGCCTTCTCCTGTGAATCCTTTCAGGGGTGTGGAGACGGGATTGAACCGGGCATTATCTATGCCCAGTTGCTTAAAAGCGTGGAGGTACATGATGTCAGCTGAGCTTCCACCGTCCACTAATATCTTCTTGACCAAGAAGTTGACCACCGTTGTTGTTACTACCAATGCATCGACATGGTCTTCATCTGGACCTTCGAGGTCGGAGGAGTTGAAGACTATGATGTGATCAGGTCTTCGTATTTGATATATGCGAGCGGACGGAGCGGCATGTTCTTGATTCATGCGTGCTGATCGAGCGAGGGTGCGTCTTGCATTTTGTGAGTCGCCCCCCGCCGGTCCTCCGGAGATAAAGGAGATGATTCCTTGGGTAGTCTGATTATCGTTGTTATCTAGGTCACGTCGATGACCTCCATCCTCTCGCCTTTGTTGTTGATCTCAATTGTTATCTCGGCGTGGAGGGTCATCACGGCGCTTATTTCGCGGCTTATCAATGTATTCGCCTAAATGGTCCTGTTTGATAAGCCTCTCGATCGCCACTTTGAGTTGTGCACATTCCTCCGTAGTATGCCCTTTGTCCTTATGGAATCGACAATAACGATCTGATTTTTCTCGCTTTGCGTTTGGCTGCATAGGACGTGGAGGTTCTGCTAAACCTTTCTGTTCTATCACGTGAAGGATTTCCGTGAGGCGAGCGTTTAGCGGAGTGAACCTATTGTAGGAGGAAGAGGGTTGGCTTTGAGGTGGAAGTGGTGGACGTCGATCATCGCGCCTCCTATTGTCCTGACGGTCATCTTCTCTTTTTCTTTTAGGAGGAGCATGGGTAGAGGCTTCTTCTATCCGGACGTATTTTTCGGCTCGATTCAGTAACTCCTCTAAGTTGCATGGGGGTCTTCCGGCGATAGATTCTTTGAATCTACCAGGTTTCAAGTTCTGCTGCATAATCCCGGAGAGCATGTCTTGCCCCACACTGGGGACTTCGTGGACAGCCTCTACGAAACGCTTAATGTAGTTGCGGAGCGTTTCGTTATCTCTCTGTACTACAGAGAAAAGATGAGCTGGGGTCTTGGCATATTGTTTGTTGATGGCGAATTGGTTGGTGAACCGGGTCGACAACCGAGCGAAGGTGTCAATCGACCCTATGGGTAGGGAGTTGAACCAATTCATTGCCCTCTTGGAGAGAGTGGTGCGGAACATTTTGCACATAGCAGCATCCGTCGGGCCATATAAATCCGCCATGGCACTGAATTTCTCTATATGTTCCTGTGGGTCGGTGGTCCCTTCAAATTGAGGTAACCCCGAGATCTTCACTCCTTGAGGTAATACCTCGTTGAGAATGTCTATGGTGAAAGGACTGCGTCTTGTTGGGAGAGGCATTCTTTCACCCATTTGATTATTTGGTTGGGGGAAAAGATTTTGGCGAGACATTCTGCTGTTTACGTCGCCTTCTCCCTCATTAAAGATAGGGACTCTCTGTGGTGACGCATTCCCCCTTGGGGGTGAGCGCTGACGCTGCTGTCTGGGCTGTGCTCCTCGGTGGTTGGTAGATAACTGCACTCGGGATCGTGGATCAGATGTAGAGGAGGAGACACTTATTTGATTCGGTATTGGCTGTGGGGCCACGGGTGGCGCTACAGGTGGAGTTGGCGCTGGTATCGCATTGGGAGCGTTTGCTCCCATCGTGGCGATATATTGAGTTACAGCCTCCATGGCAGCGCGAGTTGAGGCTTCTGCTATCATGCGTTGGAGCGCGTCCTCGGTTATTTGAACCGTTCGAGGAGCGGGGAGTGGTGGATCGGCGAGTGGTGGGTCCCGAGGGGGGATCACCTGAACCTCGCGAGGTGGATCTGCAGCACGTGGAGGAAGTGGCTCCGCGGCGCGTGGAGGAGGTGGTATGCCAGATCCTCCACGGACGGGAAGGTTATTAGCCGTGCCATTTTCTCTCCGAGCTGACGCCTCAGGAGGATCTTGCTGGCTACGTGATCTGGTTTGCATCGTTCCCACAGACGGCGCCAAAATGATGATGCTAGTATATAGCTCACCTAGGGGGTATAGAAAATGAGTTGGGAGAGCAAAGCGGATCAGTAGCTTGATAACTTGATGATCCTGAGGTCCCTGCGAAATGAGCACACGTGAACTAAGTCGGGGGTTGATCCGGCGGAAACCCCTCCGACGCTCAAGTCAGATGTACGGATCGTAGAGATAGTAGAGAGAATAAACTCGTGGTTGATTATCAATAATGAGAACGTACCTTTTCGAATGAGTAAAACACTTATTTATATATCGTTGAATGGGTTGGGCTTAGTTTGTTGGGCCCAAGCCTTATTTTGAAGGAGCTTGGGCTTTCGTGTAATGGGCCCACTTGTATGTGATTGGGGTTTCGTGTATTGGGCCTAATTATTAGATAAATTTGAGGGCCCATTGGGCCGACCCATTTAGGTATATCAAAAAATATATATATATATATATATATATATACTGAAGACTGAAAAAACTGTAAACTTTACCGTTAAATTGGCATAAAAAATCATTTATCTTTTCTTTTAAATTGGCATCTACTCCACATATATATTCATAAACGTGCACTTATGTTTTCTTATTTAATTTGTTATTTCAGTACAGTTAATGTTTTTGTCCAACATATTAAAATTTGTCAACTACCAAATGGAATCATCAATAATCTTGCATGAGGTCGTTACTCTTTAATTATTACAAAGAAAAAAGGACATATATATTGCGTCATCAACTTGCGTCACTCCTCATTATTTTTTAGCATTAATTTATGAACCCGCATTAATTTATGAACCCCACTAGCGCGTGACCGACAAACCTGTCTCCAAAATCGAAAATTTTCTATGTTGCTTAAGTTGGAGTAGTTACAGTTTTGGTCCTTCAAGTTTGCACGTTTTTCATTTCTGGTCCTCATTCACCATTATCAACAAAATACAATCTAATGTTGTCACGTGCACTTTAACACATTGAGCCTCTCCGTCTATATGACCGTCAAGAAGTAACAATAAACGGTTGAATTAGGGCTGCCTTGAGAATTTTTGTTGAGAAAATTATACTAAGACCCCTATATTCTTTCAAATATACTAAAAACCCCTAAGATTTTATTCAACTCTAAGTTAACCCCAATTTTGACCAATTGCGTTTGACTTTTTTTCTTTTCTTTTATTTTGACTTTTTTATATTATTTTTCTAATCGGTTGTGGCTTTGGCTTTTTTTTTGAAATTATATTTTTCCCGTTACTCAACAATTTAAATAAAAATAAAATAATTCAATGCAAATCAACCCAATATTCAACATCGGTCAATGGTGGCAAAAAAATCAATCGAAAAAAATTCAACCCAATTAAAAAGAAAGTTAACGTCGAAAAATTGTGGTAAAATAAAACATAATAATAATAAATTAGTGCTGGTAAAAAATGGGGTAAAATGTAGTGTCATTGGTCAAAATCGATTAATTTGTGAAATTGCGGTTAAATTATGACTGAATAAAATTTTAGGGGTAGAAAGTTTTACTGTGAAAAATCCCAAATTCAGCCCTAATTCGACTGCTGAGCATTGCTTGTTTAAGGTTTCAAACAAACAGAGGGACACAATGTGTTAAAATTTGACAATATTAGAATGTGTTTTATTGACGACCCTAAATGGAGGACCAAAAATGAAAAATGTGCAAACTTAGAGGATCAAAACTGTAATCATCCGTTCTTTCTCGGACAATTTGGTAGAGACCACCTCTATATGTTCACTTATTATTCGGATTCAACACGAATAACGTTATTTTACCTTTTTTATTCAAAATAAAATAAAATAAAATAAAATAAAACAATAGTGCAGTTGCATGTGTTTGCGCAGGTTGTGTGACCAATAGTATTTAATATTTAGAGTATTAATTGTCGGGCACAAAATTATTTACTAGAAATTTAATTAATGTGGAAAAAGCCTCTCACTTAATATGTGTGTATTAATTGTACATATATATAATTGAGCCGGTTTTAAAGGATCTAAGGCAAATCCATTAAATAAGGATAGTACATTTTTTTAGTTGGGCAGGTAATTTCAATTTATTTTTTGCATGCTGAAGTGTGCTAATTAATTAATGATGAAATAATATACATATGAAAAAAAAATGATTAAAATATATGTGAAAATAAATAAATAAATAAATATATACGATGAGATGCTCAGTGAGAAAAGGTTATGATCAATATGGTCCATATCCATTACTGATCATATATATGTATTGTATAATGTAAGCATGTAATTAATTAATTAGTTCTCCAATCATATAATATTCATACTAATATGTTTATTACAACCTTTTATAGATGAACTAATATTAAAATAAAAAAAAATCTGTCATTGAAAAGTTAATTATATTAGCAATATCTGCACATTTTTTCTGTACTATACATCCCATTTTTTAGTTTTGCACAAAAGTTGGTTGATTGATAAATATTTTGATACAAGTTTCTTACTTAAAAAATTACCCTTAACCCATTAAAAACAACCGGTTTTTTTAGGGACTATAGGACAAAATTAGTAGAAAATTAATAATATCAAATAAAAAAGCATTAAAAAAGATGATCAAAATTATTTTTTTCTGCAGGGGCGGGAGCCCCCCAAGTCATAAGGTGGTTCCGCCCCTGAAGCCAGTTGTGGAGGTGTATGTTCCTCCACCCTTTGAATGCCGAAAGTGAGGGGGTTTTTTTTCCAAGTTTTTGCCGAAAATATTATATATGCTCAATTTTACTAAGAGTTAATTGAGCAGCTTAGTTGGAGAGGTTGGACAGAAAATGATCTTCTTAGATTGGAAATACTTTAATTACTATCTTCCAACTCATCGGTCAAAACTCAAAACCACCTTCGATCCGCTCAAAAGACACCATTTTTTCCACTCTTCTGCCTCCCTACTAGTCCTCGATCTTCGACCGCCTAAATTGCACCACAAGTTCACAACATCATTGGGAAAATGTTATTTTTATCAAAGACGTCTATTTCAATTCAAAATTTTCAAAAATCTATCCATTTTCAATCTTGTTTCTAACTAAACTGTCTGTTTTCGTCTAAATCCAACTAAGCTGCCCTAAATGACTTTTAGCAAGTTCAAGATATTCAGGCATATTATTAAATATAGAAACTATTTTTGAAGGACTTTTAGCCAATTTTTCCATCCTATACATATAAACTATAATTTAATGCTAAATTAAAGAAAAAAAGTAAGCAGACTGTAGAGCAATATATACAGCATCCATTGTAACGGAGTTAGTTAATTCTTCACTAGTCCAATGAGTGTGTTTTGATAGCCTGGGTGAATCTTTGTCTATCAACACAATGAGATACCCAACCTAGCTATTTAGGTACCTACTCCTTCCCCTATGATTGAACTTCTCACTTAGAATTTTAGAAACTAATATATATATATATATAATATTAGATTTGGATTGGAATTTAGAGGGCATAATAATGGAGGTGGAATGTAAATTTTCAGGACAATATTTAATGACATACATCTGGTAAAATTTAATTATTTTAGTTATTTACCAAACGATTCCTCTTTTTACCGATACTATTTATTCTTTCGGCTAAAATCGGTCATTTTTATGCTACATTTGGTGAAGATAATTACATTGAGTGAATATTGACCATTGATTGATCTCCACAGACCAAATGCGGGTGTGGGTGTTTTTGTGTGTTATATGAATAGTAAAAACTTACCCGTCTATTTCACCCGTTGTAATAGCATAGTATAAGCCGCTAAAAAAATTGTCTCTTGAAAACAAAAACTTAATAAAACATTGATTATGAAAAGTAAATAAATAAAAAAACTTAAAAGTGACTAAAATACCATTTCGGGTCCATAAATTATTTGTTACTGATAAAATGCAAATTAATTTGAGAAAACTCGATCAACGTAACTAATTAATGTTTCATTATTGGAACTCTAAATCGATAAATATTTTGAGGCGGAATGAATATATATAATTTATTTAGTTAAATGTACGATGTGAAGTGGTCACTAGTTTTTCTGCAAGTTAATTATGTTGTGCTATACTACGAATTATGCAACTAATTAGGATGATGATGAAATCATTCTCTCTCTCTCTCTCTCTCTCTCTCTCTCTCTCTCTCTCTCTCTCTCTCTCTCTCTCTCTCTCTCTCTCTCTCTCTCTCTCTCTCTCTCTCTCACTCTCGGTGCACGTGTTTGCGAAGGAACAATAATAAGCTGAAATAAGTGTCTGGCCTGACCTAGTAGAAGACGTCAGCATGACACTTTTGTTTGGTGGCCAAATTTATCTCTCTCACTCTCTAGATCACTCTCTCTCTCTCTCTCTCTACCTTAATTCTCTATTTAAAACCCGGGGAAAGTAAAGAATAAGATCACCACCACCACCACCAGTCCACCACATGTAGTACACCCATCGGAAAAACAAAAGCGCGTACGTACAAAACAAAAACAAAAACAAAAACAAAAACAAAAAAAATGTGTCCGGCGAGTAGTGCAGTATCGAGAAGGTGGTGCCCGACGGCGGAGCAGGTGATGATACTGGATGAGCTGTACAGGAGAGGGCTGAAGACACCCAACTCCGCCCAGATACAGAGGATCGCCGGCCACCTCTCGTTCTACGGCAAGGTCCAGGGCAAAAACGTTTTCTACTGGTTCCAGAATCACAAGGCCAGAGAAAGGCAGAAGCTCCGCAAGAAATTTGCCAACCTTCTCCTCCACCACCAACATCATCATGACCCGCATACCCGTTTTCTTGACCCGCAAACCCGTTTTCTTCAACCTCCACCCTTTCATCAACTACTCTCCCATGGCTGCTCTGATCCGCCGAATCTTCTTATTCCACAGGTAATTTTATTTTAATTTAGGGTTTCTCTTTTCATTTTTCATAATATAATTCCAGTACAATAATAGTTTCTTCTGGTCCAGATTCGGTAAAAACCTACTAAATTGTTAGTTCGATAATTTAATATTTCGCTAAATTAATAGAATTATGCTAGTCTCAATCGATTGTATTAATTTATAGATGTTTAACTGTGTATAGTAAAATAATGTGCAAAATATTGTTACGTTACAATTTCAATAACAAAATACTACGTTATTATGGATATATATTGTCATCACTTCCAATCTAGATTTTTTTTTTTTTTATGAAATATAAGAAATTATGAAAGAAAAAAGAAATCGATTTTTTTTAACGTTGGACGATTTACGTAATTTTCAGGGTCGGTTATTTTACTAAAGTAGCGACAAAATGTGCTAATATATTGAGTTTTATTACTGTAAATGTAAGTTATTCTGATCGATCTGTTGGGTGTGTGTGTATGTATATAATGACAGCATGCAGAGGGTGGTACTGCAATTAATATTAGTGAGGAGGCCCCACACGGCGGCGGAGGAGTGGTGGTGACGCCTTCTTCATGGATGAGCTGCAGCTGGAGGAGGTGGAGAGATAATAATAATAATAATAATAATAATTATAATAATGATATTCCAACGTACGGCCATGATTCGGCGATGATTACGGGAGTGGGTCCCACCTATTACCCCTGCTTCTTCAGGGACGACAAGCCCCTTCAAACCCTACAGCTCTTCCCCCTTAGTTCCTCCCCCCCACGCGCCACCACCACCACCACCACTACTGCCTCTATTAATGAATAATGCCACCCCCGCCCCCCACTTCTTTGGATAATTACATATCAGCCCTTATCAAATAATTAAATCCACTAATCTCTCTCTCTCTCTCTCTCTCTAAAGTCTTTCTCTCTCTAGCTAGCTATAGCTCTCTTAGTTTTTTCTGGTGTTTTTTCTGTTACGTGTCTGTATTATTAGGCTTCGAAAATGTGCTGAATTGTCCAATAGTTTAAGCAGAGAGTACAACTATTTATCTTTACTTCTAGCTGCTACAGTTTTATATATAAATCTTTCACTTTCCCAATTTGTAGTTCCCACTTTCTACCACTGTGTATTTCCCCAATATCAGAATATTTTATTTTATTGCATTTTTCCATCAACCAAAACCTGACATTGCACAGATATATATATATATTTTATATATATATTGTATGTGTGAGACAAGTCAATGCAAGTTTGCATGCATGCATGCATCACGTCGCATCATGCAAAATTATATTTAATAATAATAATAATAATAAAAAGGCAAGAACTGATGAAGGGTGATGTCAGTCAGGGAAAAAAATGACACCAAATAAAATAATATTAATATGGAGACAAAAAAGATTTGTAGTGGGAACATTTACCAAAACTGGTGTCTACTACTCTGATTTTATTTATTTGTTTATTTATTAATTTAGATGTTTATATTTTGTGTTTGACAAATTGGATTGGACATGACATAGGTTAAAAGATATCATCGTTTTGGGATAACTCGCTCTTTGACTTTCAATGTAGGACAAAGAAACCAAAGAGGGAAAAACTATTTTGTTTTGAGATTTGTCAATATTATATTATTACATACTATGTCACAAATTAATTAACCTTCTCTATTTGTCCTAGCTCCCATTTTGGGAGGAGTGTTAATTCTACGTCTCCATTAGGTAGATGTTACACCTGATTATTTATACGATTTTGCAAAATTTACATTTAATGTAAATTATGTAGCTTAAACCATCAACGTACACATAATAACACACACATTCATGTGTGTGTTTGCCGTGGGTAATTATTTATGTAAATATACGATTTAAAACCACATGGTGTATTTCACTAGATGTAGGACCTCATAAGCCTTATTTACATTGAGTGGATTTCAACTGTAGATCCGATTTAAATCACCACTCATTAAAGCACATAAACACATAAGTGTATGTTATTATATGTAGATTTGCGGTTGAAATTCAGTATAAACAACCAAGTGTAAGTTGAATTCAAATCATTGATGGGAGTGTTTAACACACAATATTTGACCGGATTGAATTTCACCCATGGGCAAAATATAATAGGGACAGGAGCACTGTCCCCCACCCTCACAAGATCTTGGGGGGGCCTGCCCCTGCCCTATTATAATGCACAAAAATAGTATTTTCGTACAGTTTTACCTTATTTACGAGCATAGATATATCATGCTACACCGAATGAAATTTACCGGGTAGATATTTATCAATCATGGATACACAAGTCCATATTAGTATATACAGATCAACGATAAACATTCATCCGATTTCAACATTATTTACGTGGCGTAGCATATAAATAACCTATCTCCCTCCTTTATGATCTTATTTTCAGTTCATTCCCCTTTTTTTCATTTTGTATCTTAAAGTAGGTGTCCATATATTAGTAAATAATCCATGTTAAAAGTGACACGTGGCGAACAAATTAAATTTACAAGTAATAATGTGCAATCCGTAGAAACTGATTCACAGATAAAATATTTATGGGCACGAGAAATTGTGCAGAAGAAAACATCAGTGAATGAATGCAAAGTGTTTTCTATACAGTAATTAAGATTGTGTACCGAAAAATGTACTGCAAGAAAAATGACTTTTAACAACATAAATATAACAACATGCTATTGCAGTATGTTGTGATACTTACTACTTCCTCTGTTCCATAATAAGTGTCTCTTTTAAAAATATTTTTGTTCCATATTATCTGTCACTTTAGATTTTCAATATTGCATTAAATGCATTTTTACTGTTTTAACCTTGTTAATGAAAGTCTAATCATTATTTTTTTCTTATAAATCATTAAATAATAAAGGTTGTTTCAGTCATTTCTATATGATTTTTTCTAAAACCGAGATATATTTATTGAGTTTCTTAATCTTTGTGAAAAGTGAAAATAGACACTTATTTAGGAACGGAGGGAATATATTGCATATTTTACCGCATTCTTGTTGTGTGTATTTAGTATTTACTATCATCTGCAAAATGTCTTAAATTCCTCTCCTTGCGTGAAATTAAATTGACAATAAATAAAATTGCATTATATATTCAATTTGCCCTAGAAAATATAATTAAAAGAATGTGAATCATCAATAGTGCAATTAATATAATTCTTGGGGGAGGTAGAAATTAACGTTACAGAGTAAATAATTCCAGCTACATGACACCCTAAAAGGAGTTCAATTTCCTATTCACGGGGTCCACTATTATTAATACTTTATTGATTTGATTTGCCCATTCATAAATTCCTCTATCAATTGCTTTCATAATTAACTTTTATTCTAAGTTCTAAATATTAAAACTTTTACCCAACAGTTTCGAAATAGCAATAAGGGCTATTTTTTATTTAAATTTTTTAACAATTGTGATGGATTTCAAATTATTTATCATGTGGACTTATTTTAAATATATTTATTTCAAATGCTTCAAATCCGGATATAATAAATGGACCAAAATTCACCTCGACATCCTCTCTTTCCTAATTTTATTGGTCGAAATTTATTTTGATTTGTTAGATTACCCATTGGACTACAATAGTATATCGAAAGGAGAAAATATCGATCGAGCTTCTAATAATTAATTAAACTCCGTTTATCGAAACTTTGCTTCTAATGATTAATTAGATATACCTAGCTTTATATTCCATGGGTAGTCATTATCGAAACTTATACGTTCTTCAACACTTTGTTGATTAATTTTCATAGACATAACGTGAATTAAAATCGACACTTGCGATGACCGGTTATAATCAATTCAATGTCAAATTTAGTCTCACCAAGTTTACTCTAATTACTTGCTACAATATTAATTTACGCATTTAATTTTTTTTATTAATTTTATTTTTCAGGTACGATAATTCATGACATGATCGAAGCTCATCTATCTACTGAATATTAGCCGATCTTTTATCCCGAAATTGAGTGTACTTTCATATATACAAATTAAACAATCATAGATCTACAGACAATCAGATACGTCCATGTGTACGTGTGCTTAGTGAGTAATTATTTAATCAGATTTATAGTTGAAATCGACGCAGTGTAAAACCGGCCAGGTAGTGTAGGCATTTAACTCCCCTTATTATATAAAAGTGTGTAAATTAAAATTAAATCCAAATTTATTTGAATGTAGTTTTTATTTTCTTTCTATTCTTCTATTTTTTTAAAAAAATTTTGATGCTAATTGTTAGTGTTCTTAAATTGTCTCATTGATTAATTAACTACGTACTATATTGATATTTAACAAAAAAAAAATCAATTGGGCTTGTTTAATATCAACCAACAATTTTGATGCAATTTGAAGGTAATTTATAGCTTAATTTTAATGATTATATATATTTATAATAAAAACACTTAGGTTTCATATATATAAATCAATGTAGCAAAAAAGACGAAGACGAAGAAGAAGCTCCTCGTTTCAATTCGTCCTCACGAACTCTCAACCGAGCCTTGATATTTTCGAGCAAATCCGTCACGTTTTTCACCTGCTCTTCATCAAACTTCCCAACCGCTTCTTCTTCCTCCCAAAACGACACCGTTCGATTCTTCTTCTTCTTCGTCTCATCTTCCAATTTCTTCTCTCTCTCCACTTCAGCCTGCAATTCCCCATCGAGCTTCTCAATCATCTGGTTCAGCTGCATAACCCTAGTCCTCGTGTACGCCTCGAAGAGACGAGACGAATCGCTCGTCTTCGGATTAGGGTTTTCGATCCTGCTGACAACGGACTCCATAGTCGGGTGGAAGAAAGAGAACGGCTTACCTGTCGGAGAATACACCACCACCGCCACGTCAGCATTGCATTGCGCGGACACGTCGCTGGCTTTTCTGAACAGGCCGAGCCGCCGCTTCGAGAAAGTGGCGAAGCAGTCGCTATCTTTCTTGATTCTTGCTATCGCGATCTTTTGACGGCCCTTTGTTCTTTTTCTCTCCATTATTGAAGAAATTAAACTTTCTTGATGTTTTTTTGTTAGGGTTTGAAACTAAGAATTTATAGTGTGCATGAGAATTGAGATTACGTACGGTCAAATATTTTCGGAATCGTCTCATGCAAATTAAAGAAATTAATTAATTATTATTTTCTTTTGGTAGAAATTAAAGACAGTTGGATTCACTATTTGTCTTAGTAGATTTTAATATTTTATGAAGTGAAAATTAAACTTGGGTTTTTTTAAAATGAGAAATTAGATACTACTCATGGTCAAAGATTATAAGAAATTCAAATGCATGTGTATATATATAATCCAATGTTTTTAATGAATTAAGATTCAAAGTCGCATGTTTTTAATTTTTTACTATAACTTAATTCAAATTAAATGATTCTCGTTGACAACATTTATTCTCCCAATCGTCTAAGTATTGGAATACAAAATACATATTATATTCTAATTTTCTTAAGATTTAAAAGTATCGTAATTTGAATAAGGTTTTGAGAATAAGTGTATAACTAATTCAGCAAGTATAAATAATCAGATTTAGCATTTAATAATATAATAAAATTAAAACGAACCAAAATACAAAACAATAGAGTTGAGGAAAGATTACTCAACGGATGTGTGGATGGAAAAAAAAATATCAATTGCCGAGTACTACGGTATTTCAACTGAAGATTATTGAAAATATACCAAAGTAACGTTCACCATTTCACACAGTACGATATTGGTACTGTAACGCAAATGGTTGGTAACCTAAGGTAATGTTATTGCATTATCAATACCATAATAATATAGTATCGTACCATACCTACTAGTATAGTATATTTTATAAAAAAAATAATTATTTTTTCATTTATTTTCTACAGCATTATATTTATAACTTTATTCAAAAAAAAAAATTATAATACTTTATTTTATTACATATAAGTTTTCTTATATTTTCTTATTCTAATCTTAATCCTAATACTAACATTAATGCTAATACTCTTAAATGCTCGTGTTAATCCTAATCACAAAGCTAATGCAAACATAAATCCTAATCCAAATTCTAATACTAATACTAATACTAATAAGGGTTTGTCTAGGTTCCGACAGGGTTGTACTTCTCGGACCATAAAAAAACTGATCTTAGCCGTATAAATTATTTCATAAAAAATCTTGTTCGTTGATCTGATGTACAGATGCAGTATGACACCAAGACCCCATCAAATAATGTACGTACCTATGAAAACACATTCGTACTCGCATCATACCCCATCGTACTTCACATAATTTACCTTCTTAACCTTATATTCAAATTAATAATCTTTTTTTTTTTTTTGAGTAAATATTCAAATTAATAATCTAAATATTTCATTTATTCATGAATTCAATGGAAAATATACGAGAGGAAACAAAAATTGAAACATTAACATAAATCCATAAACTCTCTGAACATGTGCGAATTCAAGAAATTAGAGTTTATATGCTTTTATTTCTAATTCTCCATACAGTTGTCAAGAATCTCGTCAGATTTTTTAGGAACAATTCAATTGCTAAAATTCGAATGCAAGAGGCATATTATATTATTATGTCTTTCAAACAACAATTAACCATCAATTGCAATGTGATTGTTGGTAGTTACCCGAATTTTACTTTGACCCTAGTTTAGACTATGTTTCATGAAGGTACAATTCTTTTTTTTCGGTTTCATAGTATTTAATAATTATATCGTTTGAAGTAGTTTTCGGCATAATATTAAATAACTGAAACTGCTCTTTTTTAACATGCCTCTCTGTTCATGTAGTTTGCAATTTCTTATTATTATTGAGATGGTTGATGTTATTCTTGTAATCTGCATATTTTTGTTTGAAATGTATGAACAATCAATTATTTCCTATCCTTTTTATTGGTGGGTTTTTTCTTTTCCCATAAAATTTTGACATTGTTTTTACTATATATTCGGGTAGTCTGTCATTTTTATTTATTTAAGAGATTCCATGAAATTTTGATTTGAACATTAGTTAGGCATACTATATTTTCCTATTGATTAAATTTTGGCATGCCTGGCCCTCTTGGTGAAGCTTGGCGGTGTTTTATATTGAAACAAGACTAAAGATCCTTCTATTTTTTATGTGTTTTCAGCACTTCTAGTTGTTAGGATTTCACATTAATATGTTAACTAGATTCTATGTTATAATTCTGTGTTTAGATCTGTTCGTTTTTTAAGGGAGAGCACTATTGAATTGAAGTTTATACATTGGGAGATAAATATCATATCTGCTGTCCAGGTTTAAACACCGGAATTTGTTGTATTCGTGTGTTGTACATTATTCGTTAATCTTAAAAAGTTGACATGACTACATGGTGTGTTCATGGGATGTTATAACACCTAGCATTTGACAGTTTAGTAGAGAGAAAATGGGTTTTGCTAGTATTTTTTTTATGAAAACAGACGTGTATAAACGTTACTTCCATGATTGTGGGCTGATTTGTTGAGCTGTGTTCATAATTTGACATATTTACTCGTGCAAGTTTGAACTGCAGTTGGAGAAGACATATGCCAAAAAGGATTACTTCAAAGTACACCTCAAAATTGTATTGTATGGTTTGCAACAGGGAATTGAAAATTAAGGCAACATGTCAAAAATGGTTGTCGTGGATTTGTGTATCTCGATATTTTTATATTCTCTTATTGTAGCTCAGACGTCTGTAACATTTTTAAATAAAATATGGAAACACCAACACGAGCTGGTGGGGTGGAATTTCTCGATCTGTGAAAATGCAAAATATATATTTAGTTAGCTTACGTTTTAAAATCTTGCAATGCTATCAGAATAAATAAAAAAATTACGGAATACACTCGTATGCAACTATTCGACAACACTTCTTCAAGAAGCCATACCCATTCTTAGCACTTCTTCACAACTCATCCTTCTCGTGCCATTCTTTAATTTTGCGGGATTCTTTTGTTTGATTTTCTTTTAAGGAAGATCGGTTGAGTTTTTGCTGTTTTGAAATTATACTGAACAAAATCCCAACAGAAAAAGGAAGAAACTAGTAACCCTTTTAGTTTTCTCGGTGTATTTCTTAACCAACACGACAAGGTAAAATTTGTTAAAACCAGCAGCAAATGACGTAACATGTTGAATCCTCCACAATACTATTTTCCTTACACACCATCACATAAGTCATTACAAAAAAATTAATAAATAAGTAACCAGAGTTTCTTAAAGTCTACAACTTGTTTCAATAAGATTCATTTAACATGGGAATTGCTCAGAGCGTGCTGCTCCGACTGAAAAAGATAAGATAACACTTTCAAATTTACAATCACAATTTTTTTGTCAGGAAGACAGATATCGAAAACAGATTCGTCACACTGCCTCCAACTTGATCTTGATTGTAAATAATTATGTCTTCACTTGTTGCAAGCACTTCAGGAACCTAATAACAAAAACACATCGGCGTTTAAAAGTATTATCCTATTTCTATGGTTGTGGTTGTACTTGAAGCTTGATTAACCTTGCGTTCTTGAGTTTTCGGAAAGAAAAAAAAAATTAAATAAAGGCACAAAAAGCCTCAATTTCTGCATTTTGCCATTTACATAAGCTATATGAAACGAAGTGTTCTTGATCTCTGAGAGCACACCAATGTTATTACATCAAATTAAATAACCAAATTATATCACACGAAAGGAAAAAAGTAAGTGTATGGATCATTTCAATAGTAACTCTTTAGCAACACTTCTGGTAGAATATCCTTGTGTTCTTATATTCTACAAAATTAGCTTACTACTCCAATATGAAAATGGATGAAGATTTTACTTAGTGATCCACCAAATCCATGAATTGAAATCAACACAAAATTTATCATATAGTTATTGAATTTCAAACAAACAATTTAAGAAGATGCACACAGTCACACGGTAAAAAAAAAAAAAAACACCATCTGACGCTAAATTGAATGAGAAAAACTTAATAAAATGATCAAATTATTTACTCTGATTGAACATTAAAAATTATTAGGTCATCCAACGGTGATGAGAAATCCTCCAAATGTGAATTGAATCCTTTACCAATTTTTAAAACGGAATAGATATTTACCACAATACGACGAACATGACCATTGCAAAAGCTTTTACGCAATCTTACACTATACGCGGCGCCTCAATTTTTCCGAGGAGAGAGAAGCGAATAATATTAATACTAATACTAATGTTAATACTACGAATGCTAAAATACTTTATTCTAAGATGTTTGAGTCGAGCATTGGAATCTGGAGCATTGAGAGTTTAGGAAATAATACTATTATTCATATGAAATGAGGATTATGCAATTTGAATATGCTAAAACTGTTTGATGTAATCCTAAAATTTCAAATCGAGATAGAAGAAGTGGTGCAGCCACGATATTCATCGATATATGATGCTAAAACTGTTTGATGTAATCAAACTGCTATTCAATAAGAGCTGATTTTCTTGCACAACAAAAGAGCATCAAATCATATCCATTACTAAAGAGCTCATTTCTGGAGAAAGGATAATTAGTTTTTTTGACAATTTGGTATACAGTAGAACAAAGGGTGATAAAAGCTGTTTTTCTTCAATTAATATTTATAGTTTGAACTGACAAATACAACAATATGATCACAAGTGTTCCCATAATCAAATAAAATCAAGTTAATAATCTTAGTTAGTTTGCACCCATAAATAAAAACAGAATAAAGAAGCTATAGAATAACCAATTCGATGTGTCGAGGTATCTGCGGTGGGAGCTGTTGTTTTGCGGTCTTCCTTGCACTTTCTTCCAACTCTGGTAAACATACAGAGTGGGTACCAATTATTATTTTCTCAAGAACGACGCAATTCCCCAAAACGTAGCTGAGTAATTCAACATCACTGGGGCTACCATAATAGCCACCAAACTTGAACAATTTAAGATGATGGTGGGGCGAGCTTATCGTAGCCTTCACTTCTCTATCTTTTCTTGGATGTAGATACCAGTTCAACTGCACGACAAAATTAGCAGAGAATGAAATTATTTTTGCTGAGTAATTTAGGTGCTTTTGTAAGTTGATACAAACAAACCAAAAAAAAAAAAATGCGAAATAGCAACTTACCTGAAAAACAAATTCCTCCAAGTGAGGAGATGCCCTTATCAAAGCAGCCAGTCTACTTAGGCTTTCATCGCCTCTTGCAATGTACTCGATTTCCAATTTCTTCAGTTTAGGCATTTGAGGAAGCTCCAAAAGCTCACCCAACACTCTTCTACCCTCTACGTTATCCAGCACCAAGGATAGAGTCTGCAATCGAGAAACACAGCAACACACTGCATCAAATAAACGTCGTATCGGAGCACAGTCGTCGCCCGCACCTTACAGATACGTCAACTAGCATCGGAACATTCTCGATTAAAAGTCCGTCCAAACTCGTAACCGTAAGTGACGTAAGACCTGGCACGGAAACTTTAAGGGATTCCAATTTCGAGCAAAGGACTATCTCCAGGTGTTTTAACTTGAGGGATGAACCACATATTTCGAGATTTGATACTTTTTCCGATTCGTGGACAATCAATTGTTCGAGCAGCGGGCAGTTATCCAGAAAGAAGTTGATATCTCCATCGCTCACACTGACACTTTTGAGAGACAAAGATCTGAGGGACTTAAAGTCGACAAGCATACAAGGGTTGTTATCTCTGCAACTGCTTGGGATAAGAAACCCGTCGGGGAAAAGATACTCTTTGCACGGATCGTGATAATTATGAATGTCCAACTCTAACTTCTGAACTTGTCTGGAAAGTGCAAATTCGAGCCACCGAGTGATTTTCTTTCTACCTGACGTGTTCAAAGGGAAATGGATTCTGAATTCTTTTAAGACGGTCGATTTGTGCGACCGGAGAACGGAGTTCACCCATTTCACGTACTTGCGTCTCTCAATTTTGAGTACCTCGTCCTGATTGTAAATCTTGCTTAATACGCTTTTATCGTCAAAATCGAGACTTGGCGTGTGTTTCCACAAGTTGATCCAACGGGACGAAAGAACACTAGTGCGTGCTGCTTCCTTGAGCGACAGGCGAGACAGATAGTATATCGACAAGAATGTCGTCGGGCAACTGACTTATCCGATCATCAACATGGGCCACAAAACTTCGCTCACCACACTGTCCACCCAAACAAGATAATAATAATACATTAGAACCTGGTCGACAATGCAATAAGAGAAAATTTGCAGATAACTTATCCTACGTGTCACGAGCATATATATATTTTACAAATTATCAAATCAGGATTATGCAGTTTACCAGTAAAATTAGGTATTTTATTAAAGAGACATACAGCATTCGCATGAACCAAAATTTGAAAAAAAAAAAAAAAAAAAAAAGGAGAAGGAGGTTAAAGAGACATACAGCATGCGCATTCGCATGTTAAATCTTTGACGAAAGCTGACCTTGTTGGGTTGGAATTTGGTATGAATTTTGAGTCGCCTCCCACCCATAAAGCTTCAATCTTTGAACAGGAGGAACAAGAGAAGATAAAACACCCCAGAAAGATTCTACGATCAGAGTTGGAAGAAAAGCGGTTGTTTCTGTATTTATATTTTTATATATATAGGAGCCTTTTATAAATTTATATGCTAAATTACAAGAGGTATGGCTAAATTACAAATAAACTCTCTTGTTTTGGTAATTACAAAAAACTCCTCAACTATAATTTTTTTTACACATCTACTCTTGCAGTTTCAAATTTAGTGGAATCTTCGAGATTATATAGAATATTATCACTATTATACCCGTTTTATCCCATTCAAACTCCATATTTTGAATCAAGATAATCGTAATATGTGTTTTTTGGCTTGTATATATTAGATTTTAGTGCACCAGAAACTGTATTTTTATACAAAATGAGTACAATCTAAAGCACATTCCTCGAAATGTAGATGATTATGTTAAATTGAACACCATAATGGTGGAGATGTAAGAAAAAAATCATAGTTGAGAGAGTATATGTAATTATCCAAATAAGATAAATTTTTATATAAATTTATATATTACAAAATTCATTGCTGGGTAAAATTGGTAAGAATATTTTTATTTTAGTTTAATACAAGATAATGGTAGAGTACCTATAGCACACTGTATCATACCAAAAGTAACGTTATATCAAACAACATCATACCAATTTTTTTGGTACGGTTACAGCATAAAATTTCTTATTACCATAAGTTATTGTTGGTACATGGTAGTCAAAAATTTCGGTATCCCTACCAATGTCATCCCTAGGTGTGTCAATACAAGGTTTGGAAGATTGAGGGATTAAAATTGTGCAATTAAAGAGATGAGGGGCTATAATTAGATGAAATCAATATATAAGGGACTAATAAAGAAATTTGACCAATAAACCTTAAGACACCGTGGCAATATATAAGGGAAGAAACAATGCAATTAAAAAACTAAATCTCATGAGAGCATTGAAAAAAGAAAACTAACATAAGAAAAGAAAACAACACCTTAATCCTGTAACAATATTGGATTCTCGTCTGTAGCGCCGGTTGGATCAACGAGCTTTTTGTACCTTTCCAGGCACTGAGATGGAGGACGCTCGACAATCGGGGCAATAGTTCTCCATTGTTTGGGCATAAGCTTTGCAAGGTGCAACAATTTCTCATCTTCTTCCTGAGTCCACTCAGTCTGCAATTAAGAAGTGCTCGGCCAACAATTGAAGCGACGTAGGGGAGTTCCACCGAGTATTCAATACCTCGTCAAATGGAAGGGATTACCCGAGTCCGAGGCAACGTGGGAGACGAAGGAAGACTTGTGGCAATTTCAAGATCGTCTCCACTTGTTCGAGGCAACGAGGACGTCGCCGGATTAGGCGGGGGAAGATGTCACGGCCCGCTAGTTTTGACCCAACCCCTTGCCAGTTTCCCTTGGGTTGGGGAGGTTAAAGAGTCCAAGATTTAGCCCAAATAGGATTAGGCCCAAGTTGGCCCAAATGTATAGAGGTAGGTAGAGGTAGGTGGTGGTAGGTAGAGACATTTTAGGGATTCTTTGGAGTGTTCCACTCCCAACCGTTAGATCATATCGATCTCCACCGTCCATCGATGAGGTGGTCTTGTATAAATAGAGGTAGGGTCCTCATTTGTAATCATCCAACAATAATCCAACAAAAATCCAAGAAATACAATAAGCACTCAAGCAATAACATACTTTCAACACGTTGTTGAGGAAACAAGTCCGTGCCAGTAACAACTGAATTTACAGAAAACTTTCGTTGTTGAGGAAACAAGTCCGTGCTAGTAACAACTGAATTTACAGAAAATGCTACTAACGAGTTAGAATGTTATCCTTCAAGAATGTTATCCTTCAAGTTGCCAGAAATCGCCATGGAAATCATTATTTGAAACGTATCATCACCAACAATTGATTTATCTATGACAATCGTCCCGTCGAATCCGTATCGTCTCCGTGCTAGTAACAACTGAATTTACAGAAAATGCTACTAACGAGTTAGAATGTTATCCTTCAAGTTGCCAGAAATCGCCATGGAAATCATTATTTGAAACGTATCATCACCAACAATTGATTTATCTATGACAATCGTCCCGTCGAATCCCTATCGTCTCTTCATCAGCGCAACAAAGCCAACCTCTCGGACACTCCTCAAGTGTATCGTCTCCTCCTTCAGACACATTGCAGTCCCTCTAGCCTCTGTCCAATTGTCGACCAACGATTTGTCCCCTTCCGGCGGTGAAGGTGGGCCGCGCTCCACCGCTATGATGAACTCATGGAACACCTTCTCGGCATCCATGGCAGCGATCTGCCGGCGTTCGTTTCTACGCGCCATTAAATCTTTTGATTTTTTATTTACAGTAAGTAATTGATTTTTTTAATGGTTCGTTAGTAACTGATCTGATTTGGTAAGTAACAAATAAGGGTTTTATTTTATTTATTTTTGCTAACAATCAAACATGCCACGTGTACGAACATAATTGGTTCAGCTGCACGATTCCTTTTACTAACCGTACATGAATATAGATCTGTGTTTTCTCCTTTTACAGCTGGCATATACTTCACGCCTTAAATTAACTATTTTTAAATATTTTTAATAAATTGAAATTTCCAAATGACTCTTGAATTCTAAATATACTAAATTTTCGATCACACATTTATATAGTTTAAATACTAATATGATATCATGATTTTTTTGTTATTATATTGTTTTTTTAAATGCATTTGTTGCAATAAGCCAATAACAAAACTTTAATAAGGGAAGGTTAAAGAAGAAAAATATCAAGATACGAATTATAAAAAAATCCAGCAATAGAATAAATAAATATACTTTATCCTACTTCCATTAATTAATCAGAATTTTTTTTGAATATATTTTAATCCATTTGTTTAAAATTTGTTTAGTTCAATGGCATGTTGGAATGGAAGTGATTTTTACTTGACATGGTACTTGATAACTAATATTTACTCCACCGGTCACGATGTGGTAATATCGCTATGGGGTCGAGCAAAGGATTCAAATGAATGAGAGGAAAAGTTCTTGGATTGTGCACGTGAGTCTTGCTATTGGTGAGCAATGGCTTAAACGATTGATGGAGAAAAAAAATCTCGCGCTATTACACGCGAGTTTTAATAAAGGGGTTTACCATCTAAATTCCAAATATACATGGTTCCTTTTATTTGGTAAAACTGTTGAGCTTAATTAAAAAATATCATTCGACTATTGAATTAAATTAAGGTGGTGTTTGCAAAGGCTTTTAAAAATAGATTATGAACTTTTTTTATCACATAATCTGTTTTTAGGTATTTGTAAGATTGACTTTTGTTTTTGATTCTCTTAAAATAAGCTGATTCAAGCTATAATTTTAAAAGCACCCATGTACCTGCTATTGCATTCTCAATACCATGGTAATATTGTATCGTACCATACCTACTATTGCAGTATATTTTTTTATAGCTTTTTTTTTTTAATTTATTTTCTATAACATTATATTTATAACTTTATTAAAAAAATATTTCTAATACTTTATTTGATTACATATAAGTTTTATTATATTTTCTCAAATTAAATCTCTCTCTCTCTCACTCTCTCTCTCTCTCTCTCTCTCTCTCTCTCTCTCTCTCTCTCTCTCTCTCTCTCTCTCTCTCTCTCTATATATATATATATATATATATATATATATATATATGAACCTTATATAAATTTATATATTACAAAATTCATTGGTGGGTAAAATTGATAAGATTTTTTTTCTTCAAACTTTAGTTTAATACAAGATAATGGTAAAGTACCATGTAGCACACGGTTTTATACTAAAAGTAACGTTATATCAAACAACATCATACCGAATTTTTTGGTACAGTAACAACGGCATAAAATTTCTTATTACCATAAGTTATTGTTGGTACATGGTAGTCAAAAATTTCGGTATCCCTACCAATGTCATCCCTAGGTGTGTCAATACAAGGTTTGGAAGATTAAGGGATTAAAATTGTGCAATTAAAGAGATGAGGGGCTATAATTAGATGAAATCAATATATAAGGGACTAATATAAGAAATTTGACCGATAAACCTTAATACACCGTGGCAAAAACTCTCTT